GGAGCTTATTTTGAAACGCTACCTGAGATAACGTTCCAAAATAGGCTCTTATTTTATGTTAGGAGCTTATTTTGAGAACATTATCAAACAGAGCTTATAGCTTATTAGTAGCTTATTAAAATAAGCTATAAGTTCCTAAATAAGCTCTGCCAAACAGAGCTTAAGTGTATCCGGTGACGTGTATAACAGCTGAAATTAACGTGAACAATGAATTCCCTTCTTGTATTGGCATGACTGCATAAGAGAATAAAAGTTGAGATGACTGAGTTAGTCTAAGGTGTTGGATTAAGGTTCTGGTTAGAAATGGCACAAGTTCAAATCCCATTTTCAACAAAATATTTAATTTCATGTTTTGGGTTACAATGAGTGCATAAGAGAACATCGAAAGCAGTATGGTTGAACAGAAAAATTGTTTTGGGTTACAATGAGTGCATAAGAGAACATCGAAAGCAGTATGGTTGAACAGAAAAATTGGATGGACACGATTAGGCGACAAAGTTTGATCAAACTGCAGTTTAAACTCAAATGCCAACTTTTGGTGCACCGTACAACCTCTGCATCTTGGTCACTGCTATACTTACTACGGGAGCGTTATGCTGTGCAACCGTGTACACCATGCAAGGTGCACACAGAATTCGATTCATAATTTTTATACTATATATTCATAATTTCTATACTATAGATCTACAATTTTTATACTGTAGATCCATAATTTCTAAACTATAGATTCATAATTTCTATACTATAAATTCATAATTTCTAAACTGTATAGTTATCAAATTCTGAACATATAGCACTACAAGAAAAACTGTTTTTAGCGACAAAAAATTAATGACGGGTAGAAAAACCCCTCACTAAATGTTCTTTGTATTGTTTTTGTGAGGGTTAAAAATTACTCTTCTAGCTAAAGGTTTATGATTTAGTTTTGAGAAATCAAACACAGTGTAGAACACAAGGAAGAAAGGAAGAAGGTCTGCCTCTCATTGCTTAACCAGACACAGTTATATACAAATTACATCCTAAAAGGAAGGAAACTCAAAGGTAATATATAACAAGAAAATATTACCAACTAAATACAAAAGGAATATTACCTAAATAAAAGATATTTACTGAATATATGTGCATGGAAATATTCTTCACAATATGCTTTAATACCCCCCCCCCCCCCCCCTCCCCCCCTCCCCCTCAAGTTGGTGCATGCAGATTTTGTATGCCCAACTTGTCCACCAAGAATTTAAACTGCTTCTGCCCCAATGAACCTCCACTATCAACTTTTGATACCCTTATGCTCGGTATTTTCCGGAAGTAATAGAGCCCATTTCTCCGTTCACCCGCTCTAATCAGCATCCTCGAAGTGCGGTCTTGTATTACACACAAATCCTTAGTAAATTGAGCAATAAAATTGGAGTCATCAATCAATTGCGACACAGAAATTAAATTGCAGTTCAACTCAGGTACATATAGCACATTATGCATTTTCAATCTTTCAGCAAGATTCACCAAGCCCTTCTTAGTTGCAACGGTACTACGTCCATCTGGCAACCCCACAGGACAACCAGTTATATTGCTCACATTGTGCAAAATATTCACATTGCCCGTCATGTGATTGGATGCCCCTGTATCAATGATCCACGTATCATCTTTACCTGTCATTGTATCATTCAATCCACCTTTACATGCGTTCAAAGCTGCCAAAAGAGTCTGTCATTGTTCATTGTTCAGTCCGGTAATCTTGTTATTTTTTGCTACCACCTCGGGATTGACTTCCTGATCATTACTTCCAGAGGTGTGCATAGCATTTGCCCGAACACCGCATCCTCTCCCACGGCCAGCAGATGCTCGCTGTGTTACTTTGCCTCGTCCACCACTTTTTCCTTCTCCTCTTGGCCTATCACCCCACCAATCTGGATACCCAATTTACCTGAAAACAAGTCGAAGCTTCATGCCCTGTCCTTTTACAAATTGAGCAGGTTATAGTCTTCTCCATCATGTCTCCTTTTCCTTTAAATTTATTTCCTCTCTGCACGTGTAACTCAATCGGTTCTCCTCGTTCTTCACTCACACGTGCCACGGATTTAACTTTCTCATCACATATCACAATTCCATATGCTTTGTTTAGACTTGGGAGTGGTTCCGCCGCTAGGATATTCGAACGCACAGTACCGTACGTGATCTCATCCAAACCCATCAAAAATTGATGTAACTTCTCCTCCTCTCTGCGCTTATCAAGTTTTGCTGAGATGTTGCATTGGCATCCTCCACACTCACATATAGGCATCTGTTCATAGCTAGCCAAGTCATCCCACAACCCCTTCAACTTTCCAAAGTACCCGGCTATGGTCATTCCATGTTGTTTGCATTCACTCAGCTCAGTCTTTATTGGATGTATTCGCGGTCCATTCAGGACCGAGAATCGTTTGTTGATGTCATTCCATAGGTCTTTTGCATCTTCCATATGCGATATTGTAGACCTCAGTTCCGGTTCAATCGTGTTCCGAATCCATGATACAAGCATGGACTGCATAGTCCACCAATCCTCGTGCTCGACAGATCCTCGTTTCGGTTCTAAAATCGTTCCCTCCACGAAACCCATTAGCGGCGAGCTCGTAGGGAAGTTTTCATCGCCCGTGCCCATTCATCATAATTTTCGTCACCTCGCAGTCGAACTTGCGTGATAACATTCCCTGGGTTGTCATTCGAGTTCAACTCGCAAGGGAAGACAACCCATTTCAATGGTTCTGTTTTCTTTATGTCACCCTCTCCATTCTCTATGTTTAAGTCTGTCTCTGATGCCCTGAGAAATCAAACACAGTGTAGAACACAAGGAAGAAAGGAAGAAGGTCTGCCTCTCATTGCTTAACCAGACACGGTTATATACAAATTACATCAAAGGAAGGAAACTCAAAGGTAATATATAACAAGAAAATATTACCAACTAAATACAAAAGGAATATTACCTAAATAAAAGATATTTACTGAATATATGTGCATGGAAGTATTCTTCACAGTATGCTTTAATAAGTTTCAAGTTAAAACACTTGGTTCAGGTTTCACAAGTTCCTCTCAGGTTTCACTCAGATTGACTTTTTGGATCAAAGCTTGGTACATAAATGTACCAAAAACTTAGGATTTTCGAAATAGAATAAATCTTGGTGTTGAATTTATTTAAAAACTCGGTTAAAAATATTTAATTCATACACCGTTTTCGAAATAATTTTTTTTTGAAAGAGTGAAAATAGCTATTTCTCTATCTTATAAAATAGAATTTAGAAAAAAAAAAATTGGGTTGTCACAATTTAATTTACACCTCAATCTCCTATATAAGTTTGTTGTTGGGGCAGCAAATTTAGAAGCTAGAAGTGGAAAAGAGATAACACACAATAGATTTTACTCTCTCAAAACTTTGCTCCTGTTGAGCATATAGCCATTAATGTGCAATCCAACTATTAACTTAGGCTTTTAGTTGAGATGGAGTACATGCTTCAATTGCTCCTACTCCGTTCTTGCCGATTGTGTTCTGCCCGTGTTCTAGTTTACCGAGTTCGTCGTTTTGGTGCTCAAACGTCGAACCTTAGTACGTTTTATCCTGGGCCTAGGCCACAACGCTCCTAGCCGGAGGTGGTAAATAAGATTTTAAGAAAAAAGAGTGTTTCGCTCGACTCGTACTTACCACTCTTCTTCATCTTCTTTCTTCTCCGGTTTTGGGATTTTGCTTTTAAGCCATAAATCCTTAATTCGTTTCCTTTTGGTTGGAATTATAATCTCTGAATTATAACTTCCATTTTGGTTTATATATATATATATATATATATATATATATATATATATATATATATATATATATATATATATATATATATATATATATATAGTGGCGGACCCAGAAAATCATCTGAGTGGGGGCGAATATTAAATGATGTTACAAATGTCAATAACAAAATATCAAACAACCATAATAAGGTTAAAATACAAAACACATTATAAATTACAATATATTTATAAGAAAATATGAAAGATAATCAATTAGATAAAATAATTTGAATAACAATATATTCATAAATACTTTTAAATTTTAATTTCTTTTAGTTAGATCGATTTTTCTAAATTAATTCGAATACAATAAAGTATATTATAAACTTAATTGTATACTACATTAATTAAATGACTTATAAAAACTAGACTAAAAGATCATTTAATTTGTTAATTAAATGATTCATAAAAAGTAGAATAAAAATATTTAATTTATCTTATGAAGAAATGAAAGAGAGAAGATAATTAAAAGTGGTGCTAATGAGATTTGAACCCATGACATAAGCATTTTATAACATAAAACTTAGAATTCAACCAACTAAGCTACTCAAACTATTGGCATTTTCAACATAAATATTAATTTTATATAATATTTCATTTATATATGTGTACATATACATACAAATATATAAAGGGGTGCGGTAGGGGAGTGGGGGCACTGGGTCCGCCACTATATATATATATATATATATATATAACAATCGGGGTCCCTATTATATATATTTTTTCGTGTGTGTATATATATATATGTATGTATTTTGAATATATATCGAATAATATTTTATTATTTTATATATTTTCATGTGTATATATATAAATATTATTTTGCGATATTAATCGACTTTGGTTTATTATTTCCAACAAACAGATCTTTTATACACCGGCATTTAATTTAAATCCTACAAAATGAATGATCTAAAGTTGGGGATTCAACATTTCTGGAAAAACTTGGACAAGTTGCAAGATGATTCAAGAGTCATGACTCAGTCTATTCAAGATTCTAGATTCAAGAGTCAAGATTCAGTGTTCTCTGAATGCCCTGCCCCCACGCACAATTAAGTTGACACTTGAAATCTGCATGCTAAGCTAGAGAAAGTATTTTCATGAGTATATATATTAGAGTTTAGTTTGTTCATAAGCACAAAGCAGTAAACTAAATCTTCATATAATATTATATAATGGTCTCAAAAATGCATATCAGAATAATGCTTGGCCTTGTAATAACATTTCTGCACTTGGCATCTCCTTTCACAAAAGGAGTTGGTGCCCAAAACATTATAAGCTGTATCGAAACCGAGAGGCAAGCACTTCTGGCTTTCAAGCAAAGCATTATGGAAGACAATGGCATGCTGTCTTCTTGGGGAAGTCATAAAGAGTGCTGCAAATGGTGGGGTGTTCGCTGTAACAACGCCACGGGCCATGTTATCAGTCTCGATCTCCATGGCAATTCGAGTACCCATCAGTACCTGAGTGCTCCCAAGGTTAGTTCATCTCTGCTTCAACTCGAGCATTTGAGTTATTTGGACCTAAGTTACAATGAATTCCAATGGAGTTCAATCCCAGAATTCATTGGGTCCTTCCAAAGATTAAGAGTTTTGAATCTCCATAATGCCAACTTTGCTGGTGCTATTCCTCCCCATCTTGGGAACCTCACAAATCTAAGAGTTCTCTCATTATCTTATAATGGACTAAATGAAACCATTGGTGAGCTTCTTGAGAAGTTAGCAAGGGGTGCAGCTGGGAAGTCATTACAGGTTTTGGGGTTGTCTGGGAATGAACTAACTGGCAAACTCCCTGCAAATATGAGCACTAGATTTGAATCCTTGAGAGAATTGCATGCAAGGCAAAACCTGATGAGTGGGTATTTGCCACCTCTATTGCCTTCAAGCCTTGAGCAATTAGATTTAGCCATTAACAATTTTGGTAGTGTGTTTCAAGACCACACCAAAGGTTTTGGAAAAGCAAGTAATCTTGTGAAACTGGATTTATCCTTCAATCTGATCACAGGGCCATTTCCAGATTTATCAGATTTTGTGTCATTGAGAGTGTTGAATCTGAGTGGGAATCTAATACAAGGGGGGTTATCAGAGACCATAGGCAAGCTATCAATGCTTCAAGTGTTGAATTTAGGGTCCAACTTTTTGGGAGGAGTTATTAGTGAAGCCCACTTTAGGAACCTTACCAGCATCCAAAAGATGGATTTATCTCAAAACCCAGGATTGTCATTCAACTTCAGTGATGATTGGGTTCCTCCTTTTCATAGCCTAAACTCTATGGTGATAGGAAATTGTAAAGTTGGGCCTAAATTCCCAAATTGGCTGAGAAATCTAAGTTGGTTTTCAGAGCTTGATCTCTCCTCTGCTAATATTTCTGATAGAATACCCAATTGGTTTTGGGACCTCATCATCTCCCCCAAACTTAGATACTTGAATTTATCTCACAACAACATTGATGGCAAATTGCCTGATTTATCCAACAAGCTTTCTCCTTTTTCACTCATAGATCTTAGCTACAACAAATTTTGGGGTCCCATATCCACATTTGTTGGAGATTTTTTAATACTTAATCTCTCGAATAATAAGTTTGTTGGGTCAATTTCTTTCTTGTGCTCAATTATTACTCAAAATACTTTATGTATTGACCTTTCGTATAATCATTTCTCTGGTAAGGTTCCTGATTGTTGGAATAGCAACATTTCAAATCTGGCCATTATTAATTTGGCGAATAATGATTTCTTTGGAGAAGTTCCGCTCTCTTTAGGCTCCCTGCCTCAGCTTCAATCATTGCATTTGCGTAACAACTACTTCAATGGGGGATTGCCTTCCTCATTTCAAAATTGTACATCCTTGAGAATTATGGATCTCGGAGGAAATAAGTTTATCGGGACAATCCCATCATGGATAGGAAGCCATCTAACTAGTTTGACCATTATTAGCCTACGCAATAACAACTTTAATGGAAGCATGCCTAAAAATTTGTGTCACCTTAGGAAGGTCCACCTCTTGGATCTCTCTCAGAACAAGTTGACAGTGTTGTTAATGGAAGCATGCCTAAAAATTTGTGTCACCTTAGGAAGGTCCACCTCTTGGATCTCTCTCAGAACAAGTTGACAGGGAGAATCCCACACTGCTTTAACAATTTTACTACTCTTATTCAGAATACTCCCCTGAGAAGCATTGAAATCTCCTACGATTCTCTCACGGGAGATAATAATTATCCTCTCTTCTACATTGACAATGTTTTTGTTCAATGGAAAAACAAGGACTCAAAGTACGACAAGCAATTAGGATTCTTGTATTGCATTGATCTTTCAAGCAATCAATTGATTGGAGATATCCCAAAAGAACTTTATGCTCTCAAGGAATTAATCTCCTTGAACCTTTCAAGAAACCATTTGACTGGTAAAATATTTCCATCAATTTGTGAGATGAAAAACTTAGAATCCCTTGATCTATCCAGGAATCAACTCTCAAGTGAAATTCCAACGGATCTTGCTCTATTGAATTTTCTTGGGGTTCTTGACTTATCAAACAACTTCCTGTCCGGCAAAATTCCCAAGGGCACTCAACTGCAAACTTTCGATGCTTCATCCTATGCTGAAAATAGCGGCTTATGTGGGGACCCACTTCCCAAGTGTCCCATAGATGTTCCTCAACATGGCAAAAATAATGACTATCAAGAAGGAGATGAGAATCCTATAGATCGGAAATTTTACATATCTATGGTGATTGGGTTCTCTGTCAGCTTTTGGGGACTTATGGTCTCATTGGTGCTCAGTGACAAATGGAGATTAGCCTATTATGGGTTCCTCAATGATGTCAAAGATGGGATGTATGTGAAAATGAAAATTTATTTAATAAGAGCACACCGAAGAGTTATGGACAAATGCTGATTTGATGAATTAGTGACGGTATAATTACTCTACTCTTGTATTATTTCATTTTTACATCGTATTTAATTGCTAATAAAAATTTTGCCTCATCTTTGACATACTTGCACAGATGGATCATGTGCAAATTGCAGCACAAAATTGAAGAATATTGATGGAGTAGTTGGTTTGAAGATTTGTGTGTTTCCTTCACTTTCTGTTAGATGGAGAAGTCTGTACTAATTTTTCTAATAAATCCTATTTGTGTTTGCTAAAACTCCATCGCTTCCTCACATTCTAAAGATAATATATTGTCATTGTTACTTGACATTATTGGAAATCTTATCTTCTTTGTTGTGTTCTTTAATCAGTGTGGTTGTGTTTGGTTCGTACATAGAAATCGAAATTAGAATGTGAATTAAATACTTAATTAGTAATGGTATGAGTTTTGGTCAAAGTATTTTTCATGTTTGATAGTATGATGAAATTGGATTGATTACTAATATTGATATTTGGTTATATATGGTCCTATAATAGAATAAATGTTTTAAAAATATAAAAATAAAAAATCAAGATTGATCCTAATATAATGACATCCAAAACACCAATATGAACAACAACAAAAAAAAAAAATCAAAACAAAAATATGAAAGCACTAATTCAAAATTAAAAATCAATCAACCGACTCTTCAGTTGGCTCACATGGGATATTTTATTGACAAGATGAATAATCATCAATCTGTATAGTTAATATTTGGAGAACAAATGTCAAGTACTATATAGAATATTATTTTCCAGTGCACTGGAAATATATTCCAGTACTAGAAAATAATTCCAGTGCACTGGAAATCAAAATTAGAATGTTGTTAAAGCACATTAATTTCATAGAAATATGAAACTAAGGAAAATACTGAATATTTTAAGAATAATTTAAGTTAGATATAATTGTGAGGTAAAGAACAATTGCGGCAAACAACAAAAGTGCAAAGTAAAGACCAAGTTATAAAGAAATTAAATAAAAAATTTAAGAGAGATACCAGTGAGAATATGAACTTTCACTTATTTATTTATTATTATTTAAAAACAAACGGTATTCGGTTCGGTTTACAAGAATCAAGAACTGTTCGATTTTAGAGCTTTTTTTTTAGTGGGTGTAGGGGGTGACGAATGAAACTCGCAACCACTATCCGAGGGTTTTTTTTAGTGGGTGTAGGGGGTGACGAATGAAACTCGCAACCACTATCCGAGGGGGTGCATTGGTAAATTCCGTTTTTTTTTAGTGGGTGGAGGGGGTGACGAATGAAACTCGCAACCACTATCCGAGGGTGTGCATTGGTAAATTCCGCTTTTTTTTAGTGGGTGGAGGGGGTGACGAATGAAACTCGCAACCACTATCCGCCTTGTGACCTTAACCAGGACCATAAGGAGGTAAAACAAACCTAGATTGTCCATAGCTGGCCTTTCTATTCTTTCACATGGTATCAGAGTATTTCGAGCAATACCATGAGTCAAGCTAGCTCATTTTGAGATTTGATTTGCACCCTTTTATGGGTGAGAGAGAACCTCTATGCTATACAATTCAATATGCAAGGCTCTTGTATATATAGTGGTGCAAACCCACTTCCCAAACCAATGTGGGACAAAGGCTACACTAAAGCCTTTCCACCTTATTTTCCAACTCAAATGGGTCTACTTTGAGAATTAATTTCTCATTCACCTATTATCCGTTTTGAGCGTACAATATATCAATCTCTTCATCTCACTACGAAGAACCTGAATCCACTTTGACTCGATTCAAAATCAGAAGTGGATCCCACTAATATTAGTACCACAAAATAGCCATTTAAAATGACATTTTATGCTATTTTTTCAACATTATCTTACCCCAAAAGTTTCATTATTTTAATAAACTAGTAATTCACCCGCGCGATGCACGGGAAAAAATTATGTTATTATAAATATAAATAAAAAATAGAAAAACTAAAATATTTAAAATTATTTAATATAATAATATTTTTGAGCTTCCATTGGTCAAGTATTTATTATTTTTATAGAATACAAAACTAAAATTAAAATTAAAATTAAAATTAAAATTTTGTATGGTTAATATAATATCTAATTATGTGCATATTCAAATAAACTTATAGAGAGAATTTACATAATTACATTGATTTATTCTTAATTGTATTTCATCTATATTATAATTTTCACAATACGAATAATAACTAAGATAATTACATTTGGAAAGCAAATTTAAATTTTTGTATGTGTAAATTTAAATTCTAATTGAACACATTTTTTAGATGATTATATAATATATAGCTATTTTATTTTTCAAAATTATATTTTTTATATGATTATATAATATATAGCTATTTTATTTTTTAAATGTTGTGTTTTTTTTTTTTTTCACAATACGAATAATAACTAAGATAATTACATTTGGAAAGCAAATTTCAAATTTTGTATGTGTAAATTTAAACTCTAATTGAACACATTTTTTTTATATGATTATATAATATATAGCTATTTTATTTTTCAAAAGTATATTTTTTATATGATTATATAATATATAGCTATTTTATTTTTTAAATGTTGTGCTTTTTTTTTTTTTTTTAATAATAAAGGATGTTGTGGCATTAATTGTAACATTAATTATTTCCCAAACCATATAACTTCTACAATCTACATCTACAATTCTAATAAAAGCCAATAATGTTAGGCCCTTAACTGGAATAAAAAAAATGTCGGTACTACTTGTTTCTTATAATGAATGGTTCATAGTAATTTGATTTTAGTATTTGTAATGATTTTCCTTATTTACCCTTTATTATATTATTTTCTTTCCTTAAATAACCTTAAATTCCGTTAGTATAAACTTTATTAACGGAATATTCCATTAACTATTTATTATGTTAAAAATGTATTAAAAATAAAATATAAAATTTAACATAAACTTTGGTTAAATAATTAGCCTGACTAAATACATAGCATTCAATGATTATAAATCAGGAACTTTGATAATCATTTGATTTTCTTTAATTAAAAAAAAATTAAGTTCAGTTTTTTTTTTCGTTTAATTAATCTTCTTTTGATTATTGAGAACAAAACTTAATATTTCAATTATGCTTTTATCAATGCATGAAAACTTCTAAAGAAATTTGTAAGTTAATTTTTACTATATTATTATAATAATATCTATTGTAACCTTATATTTTGAATTATTTATTATCATTATCTATTGTCAGCAATTGTCATCGACAAACTCTCAAAGCAATTTGTCTCAACAACTAATGGAAATTTAAAAAAAAAAAATCAATAATTTCATTATTGTGGATGAAAAGTTTGTACACCTCTTTATTCAATCGTTATGCTGTGGAACTGTGTCCACCTTGCAATGTGGACACAGTTCTATGTTCATAATTAATGAACTATATGTTCATAATTATAAAGCTATATATTCATAATTTTTGAACTTCATATTCATAATTATTGAACTCTATATTCACAATTAAAGAACTCTATGTTCATAATTACTGAACTATATGTTCATAATTATAAACCTATATATTCATAATTTTTTAACTTCATATTCACAATTATTGAATCTCTATATTCATAATTACAGAACTATATGTTCATAATTATGTTCACAACTCTATGTTCATAATTATAGAACTATATGTTCATAATTTTTGAACTATATATTCATAATTATATTATATTATTTTCTTTCCTTAAATAACCTTAAATTCCGTTAGTATAAACTTTATTAACGGAATATTTCGTTAACTATTTATTATGTTAAAATGTATTAAAAATAAATTATAAAATTTAACATAAACTTTGGTTAAATAATTAGCCTGACTAAATACATAGCATTCAATGATTATAAATCTGGAACTTTGATAATCATTTGATTTTCTTTAATTAAAAAAAAATTTAAGTTCAGTTTTTTTTTTTTTTTTTCGTTTAATTAATCTTCTTTTGATTATTGAGAACAAAACTTAATATTTCAATTATGCTTTTATCAATGCATGAAAACTTCTAAAGAAATTTGTAAGTTAATTTTTACTATATTATTATAATAATATCTATTGTAACCTTATATTTTGAATTATTTATTATCATTATCTATTGTCAGCAATTGTCATCGACAAACTCTCAAAGCAATTTGTCTCAACAACGAATGGAAATTTAAAAAAAAAAAATCAATGATTTCATTATTGTGGATGAAAAGTT